CAATGTAGATGCCAAGGTACCTATAACTGTGAACCCACTCCAGGTCGATGCCCAGGACCCGCAGCCTCTGACTGGGCACCTTGGTGCGAAGGATCATGGCTTTGGATTTTGCCGCAAATATCTTGAGCCCCAAGCGACGGCAGGTGGAAGCCAGCAGATCGAGGTCCTCCTGGGTACGCTGCAAATGCCGGTGCTTCCTAGGTACGACAAGTGCCAGGTCATCGGCATAGCTGAGGAGGATGGTGCCTCTGGAAAAAGGCAGGCACACCAGCTGGTGCATCAGTACATTGAACAGGGTGGGACTAAGCACCCCGCCCTGTGGAGTGCCATTGTCCAGGGTCTTGAGAGAAGAGGCATGCCCCTGGAAGCGTACCCGGGCCCGCTTGTCCTGGAGATAGGAACGAAGCCATGAAAGCAGCCTGCCTTTAATCCCCCTGTGGGCCAAGAGTGAGAGGATGGCAGGTGCACTGGCTAGCTCAAAAGCTTTCTCGAGGTCAAGAAAGACAACAATGTGGGCTTGGGCGTCCGTCCCAATGCCGGTCAGTAGAGTGGTAAGGCTTTCGAAAGTGCCCACTCCTCTGGTGAAGCCATAGAGGTGTTTGAGGAGGGCCAAGCTTCCACCTCAGGTGCTCCAACACCATCCTTTTAGACACCTTCGAGATGCAACTGGTGAGGGAGATGGGTCTCATACTGCCAGGATCCCCAGGCTTAGGAATCGGTATGATGTCAGCCTCCTTCCATACGACAGGGAGTTTGCCAGCTCGCCAAGTCTGGTTGATGACCCCCAGGACAGCTAAATGTCCAGAATGGCCAGACCGAGTCAGCATGCCATAGGTGATACCATCATGCCCCGGTGCAGTGTCTCGATGAGATGTGAAGGCTGCCTGGAGCTCCTGGTCAGTGAAGTCTTCATCTGTGACGTCCTTAGCCTGGCATGCTGCTTGGATCACCATCACCCTTCTAGGAAGGAGGGTGGCTTGGAGGTCCTGGAGATCCTGAGGCAGTTGAGCCATGGCCGCTCTGGAGGTGAATAGGTCCACCAGATGCTCTGCCTCTGTTGTGGGGTCTGGGTGCAACCGAGCCACACTGCGACGCTGCCCAGTGGCCAATCGTAACTTGGTCCAAATCTCAGATAAGGTGGAGGAGTAGCTGAAGGAGGCACACCACTCGAACCATTTAGCCTGCCGGACCCTGTGTGAGACATGGCGTGCATGCCGCACCACTTCCCTAAGCAGATGCATGGACTCAACCGTGGGATTACGCCTGTGCATCTTGCGTACGACATTGATGCGGTGGTTCTGTTCCCTGATATCCTCGTTGTAAAACCACCAGTCACGTTTATATGACCTTCCACCTGTAATCTTAGGTATTGCTGCTTCAGCTGCACATGTGAAGGCCACCTGCAAGCTTTGAGCCGCCTCAACTGGGTCTTCTGGAAGAGGAGACTCCGCCCACCAGCGCTCAATGACCTCCTGGAAGCACTGCCAGTCGGCCTTTTTTAGATTCCATCTGGGGGTAGGTGTGGAGAGCGGGCACTGCTGGACCATCAGCGTGGTGACCACTGCAAAGTGATCACTGGTGAGATGGGGGTGGACCTCCCATCTCGCGCTCGAGAGCAACCGCCTAGAGATGAGTGTGACATCCAAGCGGCCACCATAGTGATGGGTTGGCTCACCATTATTGAGGAGGGCGATCTCAGGGACCTCCTCCAGCACAGCCGCAAGGTGCCTCCCAGCTGCGTTGGTAGGAGAGACAGAAGAAAGTATTGGGTGGTGGGCATTGACATCCCCAGCCACAACAAGACCCTCCCGTGGGGCGAGTGCTGCCACCTCTGAAATGTCAAGGGTGTACCGAGAGCTTCTGTAAATATTGTAAACCATGAGAGGTCCATCCGCCAGGTGTAGGGTGACAGCCTGAACCTATACGCCCTCCCCACAGTCGATGGGGTCAGTGGAGATTGAATAAGGGATAGTGGTCCTGACATAGATCGCGGTGCCCCTGCCAGTCCCTTCCAGGCGCTGAAGGTAGGCAGAGAATCCCGGAATACGTGGCTGCATTTGACGTGACGAATTGGTGAGTGTCTCCTGAAACAGGAAGACATCAACCTCATCCTGAACTGCAGCTTCAATCACTAAGTGAATTTTCCGCTGCAGCCCACAAATGTTCCACTGGAGGGTCTTCAAGGGCTGCAGAGGTGGCTCACTGATTCCATCTCTGCCTGGGACTAGTCGTCCTTTGTTGGCGACTCCGGGGCCTCCTCCTCCACAGACTGGAAGGACTCCTGGATGATGGCTTGAAGTTCCATTGAGTCTTTCCTGTCCAGTAGGACCACGCCCAGCATCCATGACAGGAGCTGCCTGCAGGCGCCCCTGTCCTCTGCCGACGGCAGCAGGCGACAGAGGAGCGCTGAGATGACCCCGATGGTTTTCTTCAGTCGATCCGGAAAGGATTCGACCATTACCTCTGCAGGCATTGAGCTGGACGACCCGTCGAGTCGGGGCTGGGTCACAGGGTATGTCTGGGTGGCTGTCGACACTGCAGCAGCATAAGCTGGGTGCACCCTGGGCCCGGCATGAGTGGCCATGGGCTTCCAAGTCTTCTGGCGGGGAACCTCTGCCTGACTCTGGCCACTCACAGTAGGGGCCTGCCCTTGGGAAGAGGCCTGCTGGCGGTATGGCAAGGAATGTTGGTTCCCAGCTGGGACCTGCTGGGCAGTGTGCCTGGCCTGTGGCTGTTTTTCCCAATGATTCTGTCTTCTTGGGCACCTTGCCATCTGACCCCGCAGTTGACCGCGCTGCTGCAAACCAGTGCCTGCCCCCTGATGCCACCGCTGGGAGCACAGTGCTGGGAACTCGCTGGTATTGCCCTCCTGCAGTATCCGGGGAACCGTGATTAGAGTCCATGCTGACTGTTGCTGGGCAGTTCCAAGGCTGGGTGGCGTCGGGGCTGTTGGGTCGTTCCGATGACGAACCTGCTGCCAGTGCTGCACCATCACAGGACAGCTCCGGTTCCAGGCAAGGTGCCTCTTTGATTAGTTGGCACACTTGGGCTCTGGCCGAAGGGCTTTGCCAGTTGGCTTTTTGAGGATTGCAATGCAGTCCTTCGAGTCGTGTGCCTTGCTGCACACACCACACTTCTTCTCTCGCTGGCAGGTAGCTGCAATATGATTGAACCCCTGACAGTTGAAGCATTGTACGGGGCCTGACAGGTATGGTCGGGTCTTGAATCTTCCCCAGACCCTAAGGTTCAGGTGCGTGGGAAGTGGACCTTTGTGGTGGATCAGTACCTGGCGGGTGGGCACCTTGTTCACCGTTGCAGTGAGTCGCTCCGCCTTGACAATATTGGGCACTTCCAAAATGGGGTCCAGTGGGAGGGGCACAGGGACGTGTAAAAGCACCCCCTTGTACACCTTCTCCGAAGCAAGCAGTTCCACCATGCTGGGATGGGTCACAACCAGCCCCTTCAACTCCTCGTAAGAGTCTTCGCCCCGAGGAATGACCAGAACCTCGTTCCTGAGAGTGAACTCGCAGCGGAACTTGAGGTGGGGTAGACCTTCCAGATACCTTACAAACCCGTAGTTGGGAACCTTGAATATGTTGAAGGCCCTGGTTGCTTGTGCCCGAGCTGAGCGGGAACTCCTCCTTCCACGTGGAGTCAGCCAGTCCCCGTCCACTGTGGAGGCCAACGCAACTGGTGTAGGGACCTGGGATGGCTCCATCCTTGCCAGTTGAGGAGCTACATCCTCCTGGCTTCCTTCCACGACCCCTATGGCCATCTGGGGGTGCAAGTCTTCTTGGGTAGGGGCTGCCGACGGACCTAGTTTCAGATTGGTAGATACAGTAGTCTCCACTGCATCCTTGGCCTTCTTGGTGGGGGCTCCCACCTGCCCCACGTCGTCCTCCAACTCGTCCCTGCATTCCAAGGAACGTTTAGGCCGCTCTCCTGGATCTGTCATGGCGACTGTAGGTGTGGGGACAGAGCCAGCAGCAGAGCTGCTGCCTGTGACCTCACAGCCGCCCACACTGGGTGCAGAGCTGTGAGGCTCAGAGCCCCAGTTGGGGCCCGAAGCCACCCTCTCGTGGCTCACTGCTCTGAAGCACTGAACACAGTCCAAGGATCACCAGAAACGACGCTAATCTGTGCGTAAACTAACACAGATTTGCGAACACAACACACACTGTTTTCCAATCTTCGTCCAGTTGATAATCCTTATGAATTGAAATTCTTGGCCTGAGAATCTTGACCGTTCTCAGTAGTAGTTTCGAATCCTGCTGATTGCGATCTTTTTATGAATATATATTATATATATATATATATATATATATATATATTATATATATATATATATATATATATATATATATATATATATATATATATATATATATATATATATAGATAGATAGATAGATAGATAGATATATACACGAAAGTATGCATACCACATATTTACACAATACATGAACTCATCTATATGCTCACTTATACATGCATTCACAAATGCATACACATGCAAACACATGTATATGCATGCATACGTGTACATGCATATATAGTCCCAGTTTTTTGTTTCACTTCATTAGAATTCTATGACTACGCTGCACTATTTATTTTGTATGTATTGAGGTAGAGGAGACTGGGCTTATGGAATACGGGGATACCTTCTGATTGTTATTATTATTGATGTCAAATTAATGCTCATTCCTGACATTACTACTATATTAATTTAACGATCTTTTCCTTTTCCCCGACTGATTTTTCTGATACATGTTAGCATCAATCATATCTCTGTGGAGGGCCACAGTGAAACTTTCGTGCCAGGAGATAGACCAATTCCAACTTTTTCTTTAACCTACATTGATATCCCTCCCTTAAACACACTTAAAAATTAGTTTAAATTAATCCGTTGAAATCCAACCTTTGTTATGCTCCTCTATCAGTTCATTTTAGTACTGCTCCTCATACTACATTGCTTCTGATCTTCTTACTTCTTTCTCCAGACTATAATGTGTAATGAGCCGGAAGCCTGCAACTTCAACAGCTCGAAGTGTGGCCTCTTGAACGCCTGCAGCAGTGTGAACTTCGCCGTCACTGGCGGAGACTACACAGTTAGTGACGTCTTATTTACAGGTGCTCACTGCTAGTCCCCATCTCTTTGTTGATATGTAGATACAGTTGCTCTCTCTCGCTTTATCTCTCGTTGGCAACATAACAAAGCGACAGTTGTATTACTGTTACCATCTACAGCAGTGCTTCCCAAACTTTTTCAGTTCGCTGCCCCCTTGGCTCCCTAGCAACATCCCTAGCGTCTCCCCTTCCCCCCCCACACACACATACGAACACACCTCTTTCTTGGTATCAGGTTCACTGCAAATTCAAGACAACAACTAATCTAACATTATTGACAAGCGTATTTATTTCACAAATAATAATTAACATGGTAAACCAATTTATTTAACAATATGAATGAGTAAATTAACATCTCATCTGTAACTATATTATTATTATAATCAAAGGGGAAGCGCTAAACCCGGAGGATTATACAGCGCCTGGGGGGGGATGTGGAAGGCATTCAGGCTTAATTCGGGGAATTGGAGCACAGATCCAATTCCCTAAATCAAGAGCCCCTCACCAACATCAAGGAACCTTCCTTGAGGGGCTCTGTAACTATAACGTGATGGATGTGCTTGGTAAGATAAGATTTTGTTCGGATTTTTAACCCAGGAGGGTTAGCCACTTAGGATAACCCAAGAAAGGCAGGGCGTCATCGAGAACTGTCTTATTTCCATTGTGGTCCTCAGTCTTGTCCCCCAGAATGCGACTCACACCAGTCGACTAACGCCCAGGCACCTACTTGCTAGGTGAACAGGATAACAGGTGTAAAGAAACTCATCCAATGTTTCTACCCTTGCCAGGAATTTAACCCAGACACTCAGCTTGTGAAGTGAGAGCTTTGGCCCCGTGGCAGGGATATCAGCTCCTCAACATTGAGAGAAATAGCTTTAATATTTTGTTTAGATAATTTGTATAAAACTGTGCGCAGAACCTCACATACTGCTGGAAGAATAAGCTTTCTTTTTTTATCTTTCTTATGACCAGAGTCTATGGTAAGATGGGTAAGGAAGAAGGATGGGTAAGGATGGAAATATTGGAAAAGGGTGGGAGGGGGAGTGAGGTAGGATATAAAAGGTAAGTGGCCCAACCACTTTGGTGCGAATAAGCTCTTCCTCGATTGTATGAAGTTTACCAGATCTAGCAATCAGCAGTGACATATTGTATGATGCACGAAATCTATCACTGGATTGTTGTCAAGTGCCACCAAACATACTTCCAGGGGGTTTCCGTCTCTGTAAGTTTTCTGGAAGTGACTGAAAATATTCTTTGGTCTGCTTTATCAGAGTGTTCAGGAAGCCTGGAAGGTTTCAGGGCTTCATTTGAAAAGTCTCTTTCACACAGTAGTCACACTGGTTGCTCTTGGTTATTTGGTGCTGATACAAATCCATATTTCAAATATTCCACGCTATGCTGCCTACACTTCATTTTTGTCTCCTGGGATACGGCCACATTTCATTCCAGAGCAAAAAATATATCTTCTTTATAAAAATCAAGCCAATCATAACAAAATGAAGCAGGAAAAAACATAAGAAAATATATAGCAATCCATTTGCTATGAAAAATAAATGACACAATAATACAAGTATGAATCTTAAAGTAAAAATTCAATACGTAAGAATTACAAATCACAGCCTTAGCACAACAACACTTCCACCCTCTCTGGCCTCCCTCAATCAAATCTTTATTATATTATACTTTAAAATGTAAATTACGTGACCGAAGTTAGATCATTTGCAGTGTGTACAAACCTAGAGCCTTGGCCCTTGCAAACGTGAAAATCCCGTCATCACTACTACCCACGGTGTCTGCTGTTTGATCTAGCTGGCGTGTGGAGTGTGGCGCGTCCGAACAAACATTCGGACTTTTAATCCCGACATCGGCCAATAAAATAAAATAAAATTATGCTGTCGTGTATAACTCTATGTTAATTTTATTCTCTGTAAAGCAATTGTGTTACTTAAGTGTTCTTGACTTTGATTTTTGTCATAAATTTTCCAAAACAAACGCTTCCTTGCATTTGACGCTACCCTGCCGCCCCTTACTAAGTAAGTTTATTCAGGTATACACAAATACAGTTACATAAATTATCATACATAGCAGCATATGTGTAAAGTACCTAGGATAACCCAGAAAAAAGTCAGACGAGCGACTTATTTCCAGTGGTGTCCCTTGCTCCCCCTTATTCCTCAACTCTCCCCCCTGGATATTTCCACCCCCCCCAGGGAGGAGTTACCACCAACTTTGGGACTCACTGATCTAGATCATGTTTGTTCTCTCGCTCCTCTTAACATCTTGTTTAAGAATTCAGTTACTTCATTGCCTATGTTTACATTTTACACAAAAATTCAGCTCTTCTCTTACACTAAGAGTTAAAAGCTTTATCTAAAAGATGCATCTTTTTCAGCTGGCCAAGTTTAAACTACTCTATTTCTTGTGTAAGTATTAATGTTTTTCAACAATCATTATCACAGTTTCACAAGGTTAAAATTTTGTTTTATTTTCTTATGTTTTATCAACACACAGTTTCACACATAAGAGTTCTGTATAAAATTTTTTTTTTTACAAATATTTATTTCTTAACGCTGATACAAACCGGAAGGTTTCATAGTTAAGAACTAAACCCGTAGGGTCTAACGGTGTCTTGGGAATGGAAGGTAATCAGCATTGATCAAAAAAAACGGTATGGAAGTTACAAATTCTTGCAGTTTTTGATAAGGCTAAAACCCCATGACGAGACACACTACGAGTAATTCGATCTTCGCCTTACAGCTCCGTAAAATTCTATGAAGTAATATTTGGAGAAGCCAACCGACTGTTCTGGGACAACCCAGCCCTCGTAGGCCACCTGCTAAGGACGACCATCCTGCAACTAGAATTGGCAATAATATACACATAAGCTAAAACGCCAACGAGACCCAGGGCTCTATTGGCTGTCGCTGTGTGAGTAAGGCGATTGTGGGAAGTTCGCTGTCTGGAATCCGAGGCGGATCGGAGAGAGCAATCGTCACTAAACCCGTCACTACACTGAAGATGTTAAGTATCTTAAGATACCTTTTTTACTAAGGTTATTCGCCAACAGTATCCCATTCTTGCCCCTTAGTATGCAGCATTCATTTGACTCCACAGAGTTTATCTTGCTTATCTTCCTTACTATAATCATCTCCCTTCAACTCTAATGTATTCTTTACATATAGTCATTTATCAAATTTAATAGTTTACTTTCGTCACATTGTCCATATTCACAGGTTATCAATATATGTACATTACTGTTTTCATTAAATACTAGAAATATATGGCCTTAAACCCATTTCTTGCTTCCATGTGAAATGTATGTAGGCCTAAACATCATGTTACCTTAGAAATTATATAGGCATGCATTCTACCTCCTAATTCACGTTGTACTGTCACTTCTTTACTAAGGTAATATAAAGTACCTATGATCACCTTAACAATGTACATATCATAGGCTAAATCCTCTATTCTCTCCCAAGAAATATGTATAAACAATAAACATTACCAAAATAATTAATGAGCTATAGCTATTGTCAAAGCTTAATATACAAAGTTGTTATATTACTAAAGATTGATATACAAAGTTAGTAAACAATCTTGACTATAACATAGTTTGATATACAACAGCTCGTTCCAAAGAATATAATACAATACTTATATACAAAGTTTGATTATACAAAGTTGATATACAAAGCTTAATATACAAAGCTTGATATACAAAGTTTGATATACAAAGTTGATATACAAAGCTTGATATACAAAGCTTGATATACAAAGCTTTGATATACAAAGTTTGATATACAAAGTTTGATATACAAAGTTGATATAGCAAAGCTTGATATACAAAGTTGATATACAAAGCTTGATAGACAAAGCTTGATATACAAAGCTTGATATACAAAGCTTGATATACAAAGCTTGATATACAAAGTTTGATATACAAAGCTTGATATACAAAGTTTGATATGATAATATAGCAAAGCTTGATATACAAAGCTTGATATACAAAGCTTGATATACAAAGCTTGATACAAAGCTTGATATACAAAGCTTGATATGCAAAGCTTGATATACAAAGCTTGATATACAAAGCTTGATATACAAAGCTTGATATACAAAGCTTGATATACAAAGTTGATATACAAAGCTTGATATCAAAGTTGATATACAAAGCTGATATCAAAGCTTGATATACAAAGCTGAATCAAAGTGATATACAAAGCTTGATATACAAAGCTTGATATACAAAGCTTGATATACAAAGTTGATATACAAAGCTTGATATGCAAAGCTTGATATACAAAGCTTGATATACAAAGCTTGATATACAAACTTGATATACAAAGCTTGATATACAAAGCTTGATATACAAAGCTTGATATACAAAGCTTGATATACAAAGCTTGATATACAAAGCTTGATATACAAAGCTTGATATACAAAGTTTGATATACAAAGCTTGATATCAAAGCTTGATATACAAAGCTTGATATACAAAGCTTGATATACAAAGCTTGATATACAAAGCTTGATATACAAAGCTTGATATACAAAGCTTGATATACAAAGCTTGATATACAAAGCTTGAATGTATACAAAGTTTGATATACAAAGCTTGATATACAAAGCTTGATATACAAAGTTGATATACAAAGCTTGATATACAAAGCTTGATATAGCAAAGCTTGATATACAAAGCTTGATATACAAAGTTGCATTACAAAGCTTGATATACAAAGCTTGATATACAAAGCTTGATATACAAAGTTTGATATACAAAGCTTGATATACAAAGCTTGATATACAAAGCTTGATATACAAAGTTGATATACAAGTTGATATCAAAGCTTGATATACAAAGCTTGATTCAAAGTTGATATCAAAGCTTGATATACAAAGCTTGATATACAAAGCTTGATATCAAAGCTTGATATAAAGCTTGATATCAAAGCTTGATATACAAAGTTTGATAAAGTTGATACAAAGCTTGATATACAAACGCT